ACTGTATTAACAACACAGGTTCAAAGCACCGAAGCTGCTGTTTTTAGATTGATTTTCTCATTGAGCGACGACCTTTATAACGCTTGGACATATGTCGATACCTTAGAAATACTTACATAGCGTTTTCACCGTCTAATGATGAACATCATCAGATTAGAAAAACTTTTTTTGTTTACAAGCATTCACCTAAATTGCGCGCATTGACACATTCACTTGACCTTTTGTACATTGGCCACTTCTCAACAGTGTAAAAAGTGATCTAGATTGGCGTACTTTTGGAGATCATGAGCTTTGCCACCGGTACTGAACTAACTGAATACGAAAACTTACCACAGCATATGAAATATCAAATGGTAGTTGGTATGAAGACTAGGTGTGGATACATCTTCACCAGTGCACTCAGTTTGAAGAAATATTATTTGAACTTTCTAGTCATGGGTTGCCGTTGCATCATGAACCGTAACCTCGAAGTGTATATTACTCTACACCACACAAACCAACAACTGAAGACTTTATGGAGTGATGTTGTTTTAGTCAGTTCACCTACAGCTGTTTTGCAACCTATCTTGACTTCAGCTGATGTAGTGCCTCATTGTAGATGGTAACTAGGTGCATGTAGCGTATGCCACAACCACCTGTTAGTAAAAGTTTAAAAGCACATCAGTTAACTTATCCCTTCTAGCTTCTACGTTGCGACCGTGTTAGACTCGTTGCCTATGCTTGTAACCCAACAGTGATCAAGCGTCCAGCGCCTTGTTATGTTCTCAAGCTTCCGAGACCATGCCTTTACAGCCATGTAGTAAAATAAAACAGTGCTACGGAGTGTAGTTGATCCTTAACAGAAAATCTGATATCTCATTGATCAGACATATGACGTAGGTTGGCAAGCGCCAGTCGCTTCTCTTATATCTGTCCCAAAATTCCGTCGGTTACTAATCCACCAGAGCTGAGATGACTTTCGAAGCATGTGAAGTGATCAATGCACTCATTCGCTTCACTCCTTATTTAAGATAAGGCATAACTACCAACCAATATTGAAGCAACAGTTGGGATCCAGGATGCCCACTCTTATTCAGTTTTGTAATAGATGATCTTATGGAGGTCTCCCTCTCGTCATCTGACTACACAGGGATTCACCCGGTCGCAGGAGATTTTTTGGCAGACCTAGACTCTGACAAGATGCAGTCTTCTGGACGCCTTGAGAGAATGTTTGCGATGCTTTCCTCTCAACCCAAGCACAAATTGTTGCTTCAGAAGTGATCTTCGACGGTACCCTGAGTAACAACAAACAGCGTAGTGGTTGAGCGCGTTGGACACTTCGCTTACGTGGAGATTCAGATCATCCTTGGTGGGGTCAGTGATCGACGAAATCTCTGCACAAATACAAAAGGCTCAGCTGGCTTCTGCCAACTTATGCCATCTGTGGCGCCGCTGCGATACCCCATTGTCTATTGTATAATGCGCTGCAATCCACTCTATTCTACTCTATGGCTGTGAAACATGACCATTAAAGGTGGAAGAAATGGGAGGGCTTCAGGTGTTTGACCACCACTGCCTTCGCAGCATAGGCGATGTTTCGTGGTGTCACCGTTAGTAACGCAAAGTCAGATGTAGAGTTTTAGGGAGGAGAGTTTGTTGATGAGATTGTGAAGCTTCATCGACTGATATGTGTTACGTATCCCTAACTACTCTCTGCCTCGTCACACAATGCTGGCCGAAGTAGGTCCAGGCTGGAAAAAGGCTAGGGGTGATCGGACTAAAACGTGGCATCAGTGCATGAAGTCCTTGACTGTTTGTTTGAAACATGTAGGGCGTTACAGATTAGCCGGACAACAGAAACCAGTAGTTGGAGACTCTGGATGATATGGCTAAGAACTGATGTTATTGGCGCAGATTTATACACACATAATCCTCATTTTAACCGCTGTATTTAATCTCATCATCTCTTTCTTCCTTGCTCTCTTTTACTACTCTATACTTCTACTTCCTTTGGCCGACTTTTGTTTCCTTCATCTTCCATTTTATTATCTTGTTACTTGATATGTTGTGAGGTATGGCAACTTGGGCCATTAAGCAGTAATGCCTAGTCGTATGTTGATCTTGATAATGATGAGATTCGAAAAATAAGAAAACTACCCGTAGCATTCTCGAACTGTCACAGTGTGTTCAGTAGACTCTGGATCTTCATCTGTTAGGATTGTTATCCACTTACTCTGGGTCGAGTAGAAAATCTCTCCAAACGAAATGTTGAAGAACTTAATTTCCACAAACTTAGTCAAATAAGCCTCACTATTCAGAATATAATTGTATGTAGTTTGGAGCGCGTTTTCATAAAACCAGGGATGCTATTTCATAAACTCGAATTGTTTCCAGGCATCACAGAACTGGGTGGAGTTGGAGCTTAATTGTTAATAGAGAGATATGTGGGGAGAATTTGGTAGGCAAACAGTAACAAAGACTAGTCGTGGTCTGAATGATCTGGAATGCTGATTGAAGTATGCGATTGATTAACACTTTCCTATAGCTCACACTTTGGAAGTGGTTGAGTGTGTTGACCACTTCACTTACCTGCGAAGTAGGATAAGCCCTGATGGCTCAGTGGCCGATGAAATCTCTGCACGGATACAAATGGCTCGATTAGCTTTTGCCAACTTACGCCACCTGTGGCACCGCCGTGATATCCGATTGTCTACTAAGGATCGCGTTTACTGCACAGCAGTCCACTCTCTTCTACTGTATGGCTGTGAAACATGGACATTGTAGGTGGAAGACATGTAAAGGCTTCAAGTGTTTGACCACCATTGCCTTCTTAGTATAGGCCGTATTCTGTGGTGTCACCATGTGAGTAATGCAGAAATCAGGAGTAGAGTTTTAGAGAGAAAATGTAAGTCAGTTGACACGGTTTTAAAACTTCATCGACTGGGACACACCTTATGCATGCCTAGTTGCCGCCTGCCTCGTCACACAATGTTGGCCGAAGTACTTTCAGGCTGAAAAAAGGCTCGAGGTGGCCACACTAAAACATGGCACCAATGTATGGAGTCTCTGACTGTTGGTTTGAGCCATGTGAGTGGGGCGATGCAGATTAGGTGGTTGGGGTCGGCGGGACAAGAGGAACCAGTGGTTGAAGACCGTAGGTGATATGACTCAGAACCGATGTCAGTGGCGCAGATGTATCCCCACACACATTATCGTCATCTTAACGACGCTATACCGACTCTCACCGCCTTCTCATTCTTCCTTTCTTTCTCTCTTTGAGTACTTTATATTTCTTTCCACTGCATTCTCTTATCCTCATCCTTCACCTCGCTACCTTTTTACTTGATGTACTGATATGGGGTGTGGCAACTCGGACCGTTACGCAGTAATGCCTGGTCCTAGGTTGGTCTGGATGATGGATGGGAGGCTACTTTTTTTTGATGGATTTCAAGAAAGTGGGTTAATAAAGATGAACGCAGATTTGAACGAACATTTGATTAAAACTAATCACTCGATATCTTTTCAGCTGTTTTCGATTTCATTTTCTATCCATGCTTGAAAGAAATAGCATGCAGTGAAATATTGACAGATAGGACGATGTATACTATTTTCTAAGTCATCCTTCCTAGAGTTGGAAAACAACATCTAGTTAAGCTGGTGGTAAAAGTTAACCTGCAACCCCCCCCCCCCCATGACAGGTTGTCTACACTATATTGATAAGTGGGAAACAGTTCTCGAAAAAAAACTTGGCTCAATAAAACCTCAGCGAACAACTGTTTGAGTCAGCATAACTTGTATCATCATAGTGATATGCAAACTTGACCAGGAGGTCAAGATAGCAGTTGTTGCTTAGATTCATTACGAATGACATTAGTTTGAACAGTTCAGTTAGCATAATGATAAACGTGAACCTGAATGGAACATGATTATCTCCCCTCCACTTGCCTGAGTTGCACAGACTGTTCCTAACCCTAGGAATAGAATGATCTAACATCAGCCAGCAAAAGACATCGTTATTAGAAATTGTTATTTAGACTGACTGGGGTATGAATATCAATGGTAGTCCTATCAAATCGCTCTAGGTCGTTAATCATTTCAGTTGATAAATAAGAAGAGAAATTTCATTTCGGTATTAACTTGACTAGTGGTGTCTAAGATTTGAAGGTTCCTGGGGGTCTGGTACCTAATTTGAATGCCCTTCAAGGGCGTTCGTTTTGTCCTACTGTACATTATCGATATATGGCCGTTAAATATGAAGTGACACTAATGAGCCACCAAGGATAAAGTTGAGGCCAGGTTAAGTGACAAGTCAGTAAATGAGGTTACAAAGTTGAAACGACTAACCTGACTACAATACAGACTATGTCTACCGAGTTGGTATCCACTTCAATGGGAAGTGCTGGTCGAATTAGAACAAATTCAGAAAAAAGCCATGGATGATCGAACGAAAACAGTACAAATCCATGAATTCGACGAAAACTGGTGGTGAGTTGTATAGAGAAGTGTTTTAAATGTTAGGAATCAGCAGTTGGAGACTTGGTAACATGACATATGTTTACGTGAGAACCTGCGAATGTACACCAGTTTAATGTCATATTTAGCAACAACATGAAGATGATGGAAAGAAGTATTATGATATTGATTCAAATATAAGAAAGTAGGTGCCTTGAAGCTCTTGTGGAGGAGCTATTGAAGGAATACTGCGTCTTCAGAGAATCAGGGTAGGTCAGTCAGTGGAGGTTGTGACCCTCTACGAAGATTATCTGGTCACATGTCATGCTACAACTGGTACTAATATGACTAATGTTGACTGGAATGAATGTATTGTGGTCAGAAGGAGATATGAGTTCAAAAAACCATCAAATATTTATTAAAGGGTATCTGAAACACACTGCGAATGAATAAACTTAGTACATTATGTTAATTTCTTGCATAAATGATTGAAGTCTATCAAAATAAAGATTTCTTGTATAGTAATATACTGAAAAAATCTTTATTAAAGCTTATTTCTTTTCTAGATAATGCCTATTCAAAGTCGAGAAGATCCTAGTGAAGAACAAATTGAATTTGAAGTTGAAGATATATTGGATATGCGAACTATTAATGGTGAACCAGAATATTTGATTAAATGGAAAGGACATTCACCGTAAGTTATTTTTCACTTAGAAATAAATAAAACAGTTCTAAAAGTACATGGGAACCACAATCGAATTTAAATTGCCCAATTCTACTTAGACGTTTTTTAGATAAACACTCTTTTATTGAACCGACAATAGCTACTATCGTAAGAAATGATATTATTTAATGATATAATTTACTTACAGCCTGATGATACAGAACCATATGGATTTGATCGTGGATTAGCACCAGACTTTATTAATATGGTTACAAAAAAGAATGATGAATTATACTTTTTAATTAAATGGTAATACAATATTTTGCATAATTATTTATTAAGATAAATAATTAGGAAAGGAAGTCAAGTACGTGATGTTGTACCTGCTGCTCAAGCAAATATTCGATGTCCACAAGTTGTTATCAAATTCTATGAGAGTATTTTACACTTTACTTGAACAAATTGATTTATTTTACACTTTGTAAAGAATATATATATATTATTATTATTTGTCCCTTGGGTTCCTAATGGAACATAGGGCTTAAGTAGCACGTCTCTAGTGAACCCTGTTCTCCGAAATCTTTTGGACCTGGCTCCACGACAGCCCACAACCTCTCATTTCCTCCTCGCACGATCTCCTCCATATCACCCAACGCCCAACTCGTCGCATCCCATCTGGGTTCCACTCGAGGGCACGGCCTGACGCGTGATGTCCCCAGTTGGCCTTCTCAGTGTATGCCCAATCCATCTCCACTTCCTTCCAGTGCATATTCATTCAGCGATGGGTTCTTGGTTGGTTCGTCACCAGCCAGCCAGAGTTCCTTGTTGCTTATTCTTATTATTCTGGCCATCTGATCTTCAGTAACGAGCGTAGGCAGTTGTTGGTGAATGTCTGTAGTTTGTTGGGAATCCCTTTGGTAACGCACCAAGTCTCTGAGCCATACAGAAGCACTGATTTGACGTTGGTGTTGAAAATCCGGATCTTGTTCTATATGCTGAGTGCAGAAGATCTCCACACTGGTTTCAGGCTAATGAACGTCTGTCTTGCTTTTCCGATTCTGACTTTGACATTTTCGTCTGTGCCGCCTGTAGTTGAGACAGTGCTGCCTAGATAGGTGAAAAAGGCTACTTCCTTCTCCCGTTGATGGTGATTGGAGTTTGTTGTTGTTAGTTGGGTATCTTCATCACCTCTGTCTTCTCTAAATTTACTTGAAGTCCTGTCTTCGCTGCCTCACCTCTTCTGTCAACTTGTTAGTTTTCGCCTGTAGATCTTCCAGTTTGTGCGACATCAGAGACAAGTCATTGGCGAAATCTAAATCTTCTAGGTTCTTTTCCGGGGTGCAGCCGGTGTATCCCCCTCTTCTCGCTCCTCACTGTCGACCACAATCAGGAATATCATGGGTGATAGTAGGCAGCCTTGTCTCACTCCTTCCTGTCTTCACTTCAAAAGCATCACTGAGCTTCCCATTGTGAATTACTTGGCATGTGGTGTCTTCATATAGTTGTTGAATGAGGCTGATAAAGGTTTGCGGTATTCCGTAGTGTCGAAGGAGTTTCTAAATTACTAAAGAATATATATATATATTTTTTTCTATAATCATTTCTTGCTTTGTTTATTTGGAAAGAAATCAGATTGATTGTCATATACAATTAAGTCCATATTGAATTTCTGTACAAAAATAACAATAAATATTGCATAAAAAGTAAATTAGTCTAGTGAATATTAAAAGTATATGTATGTATGTATGCATATATATATATATCACACGCTTGTTATAAGATTCTTTTCTTCTAAGGGCTCTTCTTCGCTCTAAACTTGATTGAAATGAGCAATTAGGTCGTCTTTTTCTTGACTGCTCATTTCACGCACTAGTTCTGCATTTTCTTTTGCAAGTTTTCTTATCTGTAAAACAAAGATGATAAAGAATAGTTTACAATAATAGATTGAACTAGGAGTGTACATGATTCACTTATTACATAAACAGAAGTAGGGCTTTATATGTACGGAGGTTGGGTGTTTTTACCAAATTCACTCAGTAACCTTGTGCAGTAGACAATGTGTCAAACTTGTTATATGATGGCAAGCCACATTACCTGGATGCTTGAACCCTTAGTAGGTGGAGCAAGGCTCAACCCATTGGTTGAGTGCCTAAACTATTAGGCTTCAGGAAAGCAGAATGAGACGGAAGCAGTGATTCTTTACGAATGCGATGAGGATAGATGCATTTCGATTAATTAAGGTATAGGATTACACTACTAGTTAGGTTTGTTTATCCATCTTTGGGCTTTTTGGTATACTACGTGCATATTTTGACTACTCGACTTGGAATTTTTATCAGCTGGTTAATCCACTTATTGAACAGTTCAAAAGCAATAAGCACTATTTTCAAACAAACATTTTAGTTATTAGATTTAATATCCCATCGTGACGTCGATCTGAAGATATCGTGGAATTGTGATCGATTGGTTCGAACACAGCTCCACTTACATCAAGCTACCAAGTAAACTCATCCACTAGCCCTTAAATAATTAGGTGGAGCTCATTGCCTACTGCATGAATGTATGCATGACGGCTGAGTGGATTTCGATTCAAAGACCCTAAGATTATTAACGACCACCTGGGAGAACAATTAAAAACATAAGATAAAATTTCTCTGTCGGCATATATATATCTTGATGACCATAATTGCCATACAGTATAAGTAGCCAATGGAAAATGTCGGCCAGTGTATCCGCTTGCTGCGAAAACAAACCTAGCATATACTCGGAAGAAATATTTGTGAGAAGTTGGGTTCACGGGGAGTTGATAAAGTGGTTTTTCAATGAATTTCAGCAGTCATATACTCTAAATGTATATTTCAATTGAAAAAAGAAAAACATTTCTATAAAATCATAATTATTGTAAAATTAGCCTACTTCATTGATTTCAGCAGCATCAATTAAAGGTGCATCTATGATTGTAGCAGGATTTCCAAAAGTTCTTGGTAAAAGAACTGGTAAAGGTGGAGGGCCTAATGGTTTTCGAGCAATATTTTCTCTAGAAAAATAACATACACAATAACTGCTACAGTAATATTAAAGATCATTCCATCAAAGAGATAATGATGAATTTGTAGGGAAGAAAAAAAATAGTTGATTCATCCACATGACCCCAAAATGGCATCAGACTCAGTTAGATCTTGAAGTACCGGGTAACAGTCAATCGTTAGACGACGACTGTGGAACAATATTCAAATCATTGCATATTTAGACAAATCGAAGCCTTACACAAGAAGCTTATTTCCACATCATTGAAGTGTGAAAACATCATTAGATTTATGGCTTCCTTCACATTTTCACGTAAAATAACCTTGAGTTATTAAGTGTAGTTAGAATGCTTGAAATGTTAACAATCTTCCTCACAGAAACGCTCAAGGTGGATGTAAACAATCTGTGATGAACATCAAACGTTGAGCCGAGTCCACCCTCCAGCTCTATGAAATTTGTCATCATCAATATCAACATAGGACCAGGCATTACTGCGTAACGGTCCGAGTTGCCACACCCCATATCAGTACATCAAGTAAAAAGGTAGCGAGGCGAAGGATGAGGATAAGAGAATGCAGTCAAAAGAAATATAAAGTACTCAAAGAGAGAAAGAAAGGAAGAATGAGAAAATGGTGAGATTCGGCATAGCGTCGTTAAGACGCCACTGACATCGGTTCTCAGCCATATCTCCTAGAGTCTCTAGCCACTGGTTCCTCTTGTCCTGCCGACCCCAACCACCTAGTCTGCATCGCCCCACTCACATGGCTCAAACCAACAGTCAGAGACTTCATGCATTGGTGCCATGTTTTAGTCTGGCCACCTCGAGCCTTTTTCCAGCCTGGACCTACTTCGGCCAACATTGTGTGACGAAGTAATCGGTGACTAGGCATACGTAGTACGTGTCCCAACCATCTCAGTCGATGAAGGTTCATAACCTCGTCAACTGATTTACCAATACTCCCTAAAACTCTATGCCTGACTTCTGCATGAAATTTGTAACCCAGCTAAGTTCATCAATGTGATACTTCACATTTAACTAGGTTAGTCTTATGGACTGTCACTGTCCCAATCTATTGTGTGGTTGTGTTTAGTCGCATGCATGGCTATAATGAACGAATTTTTCTCTATATCTTTTACCTTCTGATGATGCGCTTATTTTCATTAAGGTACGTTTTTTTGCTCTGACTGATGTCGGCCGACTATTTTGACATGGTAAACTAAATTATTTTGTCTACTTGGATCAATAGGGTCTTTTGACCTAAGAAACTTATTTCTAAGTGAGTTTGTAGGCTTATACTCGGGATGAAACAAAATGGAAGTTTAGAGACTAATGTCTACAAGAAATCTTCCCATTCAAGTCTACACTTCGGCTTCAAACCATCTCACCCTGTCAGCTAAAGTATACTCGACTAAATATCGAAAGGAAGGAGTAAGAGAGCACACCAGTAGGACAGATAGTCTGAGATAAAAGACTAGCCACATTAAGAATACCTTGCATCTCAATAATTACTCACGTAAATTCATCAATAAGTTCTTGTAAGAAAAATATGTGCAATAGTAGTAACAAGGTGTTAGTAATAACAAAAACGATAGTAATAGTGATACTTGAGAGATAAATCAAAACCTCTATTGTATTACCGTACAAGAAAGGCACTTCAGAAATGTTACAGAGAATTACCAATAAAACTGGAAGTAGAACGATATAAAAACCTACATACTCACACAGAGACAAGCTGCTTGAGTCAAAAGATCCTATTGCCCTTGCAATGATTGTAAGGCCGAAATAGTCAACCAGGGTCAGTTAGGCCATCGGAACAAAGAAGTAGTCTGATCCTAAGAACAAAAAGGACCTAGAGAAAAGCTTGTTTATTATAGGTATGCATGCGATCAAATAATAGGATGGGACAGAATGACAGTCCATAATTGAATCTGTGTTTGTCAAGTCAACATCAAATCTATACAGTAGGGATGATTCAGCACCTCTCTTCCAGATCTATGGAATATTCTAATACCCTTGTCATCACAAAGAAGGAGAGAGAATTAGAACTATATAAGGCATGTCTTAAAGTTGTGGTGTTAGGATTGAGAATATGGACAATAAATTGTGCCTGAAATGTTATGCAGTAAAACAATACTGTTAAACAGAGTGACACACCAAATCATGAAACTGTAATCTACCATATTGCCCAAGTTCCACCCATATTTTCAATTTATTATGAATAGCCGGATACCTTCAGCTAGATGCATTTTGTGTAAGATCACTTTTTTAGACTATTTTGAAATCCGAGATAGTTTAGTACAACGGAGTAAGATGGTGAATTATTTGATGAAAAATTAGGTTGTCTTTTCACTGCATACTGTAATTCATATAATTCTCATCGAAAGTGATGTTACTGGAAACTTACGCATAGTATCTTGATCGCTCAATATGTTCCTGTGAATCCAGAGGATTATAATCTGTTGCTCCAGCATCTACCACTTGACTAAATAAGGAAGTTAAACAAGGAAGTAGAGTCAAAAAATGGAATAAAATTAATAAATTATAAGATAACATAAAGAAATATCTAAATGATGAGTTCGGGCAATACAAATGTTATATTTTTATAAGAAAAGGGTTATATATTCCAAACGAATATAATACGCACGCTTAGCTGACAGCTAACTTAGTATACAAGAGCCACTGACTGCAACCCCGGGGACTAATAGAGAGAAAACCGAAGCTGGATGATGGGAGAGTTTATTACTTCGAGAATATAATAAGAATCAATCCCAAAATGCGTGAACATGTATACACATGAAAAATGACCTTGTAATAATGGAGAATATTTGTAGCTCAGGTGGATGGCCTTGGTTGTATTGTGTTCTCTGAGCTAAGTTGTTTAATCGTGAAGCTTTCATCGTCTTTCTCCTGGACGACATCAGTATTTCACTATGAAGTGAGATGTCAATATCTCTCTGTGAGTGATTTAGTAACTTGCTCTGACGATGTGGTCTGTGATTGGTTGTTTCCTTCGATTGTTGTGTTATTGACTGTATAGATTTCCCAGTTGGTTATCCCTCTGCTTCACCTCTGACCTTTCAGCCCTTTATCATTTTTCTTATTGGTTGATAGACCGGGTCTATGTCTATGCATCCATTGATTGCTGATTGACTGACGTGAATGCTTATAGGAGTTCTCTGACATTCTTTGTGTTTCTTCTTTCCGTCCAAGATTTCTACATTGTCGAAATTGAATTCATCTCCATAATTACCCACGTGCATTGAAATGAATGACGAAATTTCATGGCGTTTAATAGCCAACTGGTGCTCATTTACACGAAGATGAAGAGGGTGGCCACTTTATCCAATGTAGTGTTGACCTCAGTTATCCCAGTTGATTTTGTAAATGATATTCGGTTTGTCTTCTTTGATTGTCGCATTCTCTGGTCCACATAAGTGTTTGGAGGGAATTTGTTGATTTATGACCCACACCAATTCCAAGTGGTCTCAGCAATCTTGTCGTAATTTCTGATATATTCTTTATGTATGGCAGGACGATGCGTTTGTTGATTTCTGTGGATGACTTTGTAGCTGATGTTGTACAGAATAGGCATCGTCTGATGAAGTTTCGTGGGTAGCCATTCTTCTTTAGGATAGGCATCAAGTAATTCTCTTCATTTCTCCATGAAGTTGTTGTACTGCAGTGTGTTCTCGATCTTTTGAAGAGAGTCTGCATGCAACTGATTTTGTGTGTTGTTGGGTTGTTGCTACTGTAGTTGAGGATTTGGTCAGTGTATGTTGGCTTCCTGTATACTTGGGTTTCCAGCTTTCTGGCATTTGTTCTACTGACTAAAACATCCAGGAATGGTAGTTGTTTGTTTGACTCTTTCTCCATTGTGAATTTGATATCATTGAAAACGTTGTTGATCAAACTGTGGGTGTTTTCTATATCATCCTTTTTAATGATGACAAAAGTGTTGTCCACATAGCGAATCCAAATTTTTGGTTTGATCACAGGTAGGATGATGGCTTCCAGTCTCTGCATAACTGCAGAGCTCACTTCATACTGAAGTTAGTGCTGATGATGTCGTCTAGCAAGACGATGAAAGCCTCACGATTAAACAACCCAGCTTAGAGAACACAATACAACCAATAAAATGACCTTATCCCCAATTTGAGACATCGGCTTGGAAAGAGTAAAGATGAACCAATCAGCGATTTACATCACAATGGGAGCAAAAAAGATACAACTACTAGTCATACCGTAAAAAATAATATGGGAATGACACGTTGAAATGTTTGATACAAAACTGGGGCATCACAACAACAAAGGGAATAAAATATGGTTAATTTCACACACCGTAATTTAGATAGTTCAACGTTTGAATGACCAAAGGGGAGCTTAGAAAATGATACTTAGTCTCGAAGTGTACTCAACACAACTTTAAGCAATAACCAAAGGTAGACAGGCTGATCCTTAAATTGGGATTCCACTTCAATTCACCCAACTTTTTTGATCGGATACAAAGTTGAGAGAGTAAATTAGACGTAAGTTGACCAAGAGTCTTCGCTTCGATCGCGAGCAGTGGTAGGTAGCGAAAGCAAGAGAGATGGGGAAGGCATCAGCGTTGGCCAACACCTGTGAACTATTTAAGGTTATTAGGGATATCACGAAGAAGAAAACGATGATGAGTGAAATCATCACCGAAAAGGATGAGACGCCGATGACCCTCTAGGACAGGTGGCTAGAACACTGAGCAGAACACTTTGAAACACAGTTAAACTGACTCCCAGCAACGCTTCAGATGACCAGCAAACACCCTGAACTTCAATGGGACGTAGATATCAGTTCTTCAACTCCCCTCCCAGTTGACAAAGTTGTATCGAACCTGAAACGACCCAGAGCATCAGGATCTGATAGTTTACTGCCCGAAGCTTTCAAGAATAGAGTTAGGAAAATGCTAATTAAAGTGACAGCGGTACTAGGTAGTGTATGGGAATTAGAAGTAGTACCGTCAGACTAGTGGACTTCACTGATCATACCAGTCTATAAGAAGGGGGACAAATCTTGTTGTGACAAGCATAAGGGGATTAGTTTGACTTATATTGTGTTTAATGTCTTAAGCTCCATAGTTATCCAAGAATAGCAAAGTCAAAAAAACCGGCTAGGTTTGAGCCGATGCAATTATATACGAGGTTCTATGTTGATTTAGTCAGTCCTGAGAGTAAATCAATGCCTGTAAAGTTGCAGTTAACAAGGGTTATCATCACTAGTACTGATATAACAAAGTTGAACAGCAAGCATTCCTGACAGATATTACAGGTTCTCGTCGCTTTACACGACGACTGATCACTACACAGCTGCGTGAGTTTAAGTAGGTAGCTGTGATTAGCCCTACACACTTTTTCGGGACTCCCTTCAAAATCAGACCCTGTCATAACACCTGTAGGTCGATAAAGTCAAATACCGCCGATAGTTACACGCGTGTTCTAGAATCTATCGAAGGGTGCGTCGCTTATGGTCTGAGACAGCCCTCTCAACTTTGGAGAGTTAGAGGCCCAACATCCATATCTCATTCAGGTTCGAACTTGATGCTAAACAATTGAAGCATGATTTTATGTCAGTTGAACCATGATTCAAAGTGTTCTGTGTAAAGTTCTCGACATCTGTCCTGAGAGGTCATCACAGAGCCATGCTTTTCGGCAACGTTCTCACTGACCATCATCTTCTTGCTATTATCCGTAATGTTGATGCCTTTTCCGTTTCTTTCGCCACCCACCTCTGATCGCAGTCATTGCGAAGACTTCAAGTGAACTTACATTGGGGTATTTTTCGCCCCTCATTATAGTCAGAGTTGGAGTGATTCCTCTCGTATCCATCAGTTTAAATGAGACTGATGAAATTTAGTGGCTTTTGCCAACTTTTGGATATTTTCAACTGTCCTAACCTCCTTCTACTAGGAAGAGAATTGGTGTCATATTCAGTAACATGCCTAGCTGTCTCCTCTCTAAACGTACACTTGGCGCCGTCATTTTTTTAGCCAGACATACACAAGACTTGGTGCTGTCTATTATTCTGCGACAAGTAAGGGACGAACAAGGATGTGCCCTCTCTAACCCTCAGAAAGAATAATTACTTTGAATCCAGAGCTGATATATATATAGTTTACTTTAGATCATCCTTCCTTAAACGACAAACATTGGAGAAGTTGGACACATATTTAGAGGGGTCATATGGAAAGACATCATATAAACGACCAATCACCTTCTTTGTTTCGAATTACTCTATTTTGTAAAGGTAGTATCCAAACACTTCAAAAATTCCAGGAAAAGTTAAAAAATGGGAGATTATTTTGAATATCAAACAATCTACTAGTTACTAGACACAGGTTAGTATATAAATATCAAGAGAATTATTGTTTTTATAACTTACTTTTCAACAACTTTTATGATATCTGTCATCATGGTGGTAATATCAGACTGAGGTTCACTTGCAATATGATCTGGTGAAATGAAACTATAGTTAAGAAAAGAAAATAGACAAATAAGGAGAAAGAAAAATCTACTAGAGAAAGGTTAAAAATGGATACTCTGAGTGGTTGCTAGACAGTAACCAATTTCATGTCGTTTAGTGCCGAATACTGACTGAATTGTATCGATTATACTTCAAATGTGGTCACCAAGCTAGGAGAGTCGAATAAGAATACTAAACCATTAGTACGTTAATCCAAAGGATTAGTTGTACTATTCTTGTTATTATCTTATATGGTATGGCTTCTCAGACCTTGTCTACACATTAAGCAAGCGTCTTAATAGATTCTTGTATTCAGTCTAAGTAGGGAGCATATCATGTGGTAAACGATCCAAGACCTTGATAACTACAGTGGATACAGGTGTACTTATCTGTACAGGTTCATAAAACATCTTTCTGAAAACAAGTGATCTTTTAACTATAACTATAACTAACATATGTGTAACTCTTTGCCTATTGCACGGCCGTTCACAAGGTTGCTTAGAGCATTTCGATCCCCATTCGGTAGTATTCATATATATATATATATATATATATATATATATATATATATATATATATATATATATATATATATATATATATATATATATATATATATATATATATATATATAATATATATATATATATATATATATCCCTTGGGTTCCTAATGGAACATAGGGTTTCAGTAGCACGTCTCCACTTCACTCTCTTCTCTGCAAACTCTTGAACCTGGTTCCACAACAGCCCACAACCTCTCATTTCTTCCTCACACAACCTCCTCCATATCACCCTCGTCTCGGACGCCCAACTCGTCGCTTCCCATCTCGGTTCCACTCGACGACCTGGCCTAGCATGTGATGTCCCCAATCGGCCTTCTCAGTGTATCCCCAATCCAATCCATCTCCAATTCCTTCCAGTGCATATTTGTTCAGTGATAGGTTCTTGGTTGGTTCGTCACCAGCCAGCCAGAGTTCCTTGTTGCTTATTCTTATTATTCTGGCCATCTGATCTTCAGTAACGAGCGTAGGCAGTTGTTGGTGAATGTCTGTAGTTTGTTGGAAATCCCTTTGGTAACGCACCAAGTCTCTGAGCCATACAGAAGCACTGATTTGACCTTGGTGTTGAAAATCCGGATCTTGTTCTATATGCTGAGTGCAAAAGATCTCCACATTGGTTTCAGGCTAGTGAACGCCTGTCTTGCTTTGCCGATCCTCATCTAGGCCGCCACTTGTAGTTGAAACAGTACTGCCTAGATAGGTGAAAGAGGCTATTTCCTTTAAGTTTCTCCATATACATATTGCATGAAGACTATACTTTGGATCAACACGTAACAAGGAATTCAGAAAAGAACAAAAAATCACTTACCTTCCATAAGGCAGTTGTGTACCATCATACGAAAGCTGAGGACTTGGAACCAACCGCTGTCGTTCAGTATCCTCTTCCTAAATTCATATAATTGTCAAGGTTAGGCATAGTATAACCATAAAGAAATAATACACCAGAGATTACACATTACTATAGGCTATAAGCTAGTGAGCACATATTTGGTAAATTATTTATTGAGATAATCGTCAAGTGTTAAAATTTTTAACTTGCTTCTAATCACATATGTTTGAGTTGATAATAATTATTCAAAGAGATAGCTGATGAAAGCAATAAATTATTTCTGATTTTACTATAATTTACACCTAGGACTTCATTATCAGTATAGAAAATTTAAGTTGTGGATTTTATCACTAACATACTGCAACTTATTCCAGGAAATGGAATGTAATTAAACAAACTTAGTTTCGTGATAACATAACTTATCTAGTTTTTAGTGAGTAAAACTCTCATAGACAAGGTTTCTTACCTAATTAACAAAAAAACTTACGTAAAAAGTAGCTACTTTCAGCAGTTATCAGTGTAGTTTATCGAATACTATTCGATGAGACGTTTGTAAGCCAACCAACGAAAGACAATACTGCAACCAGCGAGAGAAGAAAACAACTTGAAGACAAAGGAAGGTGTTATTGTGACTGATTTTCGGCCATTTCACTAAGAATCCGAACCCAGTGACTCCTATCGTCTTAGGTATCTCGGCCAAGCAGTCTACATTTCCCCATATACTTTACACCAGTAGTCAGAGACACCATGCACTGATGCCACATCTGTTCTAGCAACCCTGAACCCTCTTCCAACCTAATCCAACTTCCCCTAGCATCACGCGTGGAAGTAGGTGGTGGATCAGCACCCGCAATATATGTCCAAGCCACTTCGGCCAATGACTTGCTTTCACTTGACCATACTCCTACGGTGATTCCACCAGACGTGAAAAATGCTAAGAAGATACCTATGATCAAATATCTGTAACTGCTTCATTTCACCTACTTTTAACGGCCTTGTCTCACAGCCGTACAAGACAGAACGGACTGCAGTGAAGTATACTCTTCCTTTAATAGGTAGTTGGATATCTAGTCAGTCAGCACTAGGAATGATGCAAGTTGGCAAATGTCAAATGGACCTTCTGTATCCGAGCTGAGATTTCGTCAGTAGCCACCCTGTTCAGGCTGATACAACTCCTCAAGTAAGTGAAGTGGTCAGCATATTCCACTCCTTAACATTAAACTGGGAGTACTTGCATAAGACCAGTCCTGGAGCATCATTTTACATTTGGCAGGTGCGATTTCAGATTTCTTCCCGACGCTTCCAGAACCTGCAGTGTGTCAGCACCTTCACCTAGCAAAACGTTATCGTTTGCATACTTCAAGTCAACCAGATGACCTCTAGGGAGTAGATAAATCCAGACTTACCTAAGGTTATACCTATTAGTATGCCTATAACGAAGTAGGAACGGTGACAGGGGGACATCCCTGCCAAAAACCACTAGTTGTCAATTTTGAAGACAACTCTTCATAAGTCCTCACATAACTGTGTGCGTTTGAGTGGAAAGCTTTAATAAGCATTATATGGTTGCTCAGTAATCCCTTCACAGTCAGGCACTGCCACAACACCTCACCGTTGACGTTTACTAACCGTGTATAGGCTAATAACTGTCTGTATCGGTGTTTCTACTGCAGACCTAGTTTCACGCCGTTTTCTCAGGATGAGCTTTGCTGTCACATTCAGATAAATGCTTAGCTAACTTCTCTCTAAATGTGTACTTGGCATTATCGTCTATCAATTGAGCATAGACAGGTTTTACTGTCGTCTGTTTTCTGCGACTAGTAAGGTGCAGACATACGCGAGCCTATACTAACGCGCGATCGGAGTTCAAATTCATACTTCAAAAACAGTGACAACCCTCCACCGATCATGTCCAGCGAAGGGCTTGTCAGAGACGTTGACCCGATCACAGGTGAATTTTCTTTAGATCTAGAATATGCAGATGACATAGTCCTGTTAGGTGAAGACGCTGACAAGATGCAGAGTCTTCTGAACACTTTGAGTGGGAATTTGAGAATGTTTGGGGTGCGATTTTTACCACCCAAATGCAAATTTTTGCTCCAGGACTGGTCTTCAGCGGTACCACGGCTAACAATAGAGAGTGAAGTGGTTCAGTGTGTTGACCACTTCACTTACCTGGGAAGTGGGATCAACCCTGGTGGGTTAGTTGCCGATGAGATTTCTGCACGGATACAAAAGGCTCGATTGGCTTTTGCTAATTTGCGCCACCTATGCCACCGCCGTGATATCCGTTTGTCTATTAAGGGTCGCGTGTACTGCACAGCAGTCCGCTCTGTTCTACTGTATGGCTGTGAAACATGGCCATTGAAAGTGGAGGATACAAAAAGGCTTCAGGTGTTTGACCACCGTTGCCTTCGTAGTATAGGACGTATTCCGTGGTGTCACCGCACCACGTGAGTAATGCAGAAGTTAGGTGTAGAGTTTTGGGGAGAAGAGGTTAGTCAGTCGACGAGATTGTGAACCTTCATCGACTGAGATGGTTGGGACACGTACTACGTATGCCTAGTCACCGATTGCCTCGTCACACAATGTTGGCTCAGGTGGGTCCAGGCTGGAAAAAGGCCTGAGGTGGCCAGACTAAAACATGGCACCAATGTATGAAGTCTCTGACTGTTGGTTTAAGCCATGTAGGACGATGCAGACTAGGTGGTTGGGGTCCACGGGATAAGAGGAACCAGTGGTTGGAGACCCTAGGTGATATAGCTCAGAACCGAAGTCAGTGGCGCAGATGTATACACACATTATCCTCATCTTAACAACGCTATACCGAATCTCACCATTTTCTCACTCCCTTTTCCTTTCCTCTCGTACTTTATATTTTTCTTGACTGCATTCACTTATCTTCATCCTTCACCTCACTACCTTTTTACTTGATGCGCTGATATGAGGTGTGGCAACTCGGACCGTTACGCAGTAATGCCTGGTCCTATGTTGATAATGATTATGATGATGAAGGGCTTGTAGTATAATGACCTATGTGTCCATTGTTGGTTTGATGACAGGGAACGTCATGTGAGACAGTGTCTTTCCTTCCTTATGTCTAAAGTTAGTGCTGGACAGAAACAAGTGACTGTCCGAACAACATTGCAACAGACGATCACTATTGTCGGTTCGTTTGCATTTGATATCATAGATACCTCCAAGATCCCTTTCCGATTGGTTCTACTTCTCTACTTGAGCGTTAAAGTCCCCAGCCATTATGACTACATCTGAACGTTTTGCTTTCTGTGGAAAAATGACAGCTCATGAGATTGGAGAATGAGAAGTTGGTAAAGGCGTAACAGACTTAGTATGAATATCATGAGGTAAAGGCAAAAGAGGAGATAGAGTTGATGGGGATAGGCTATATTTTTGATTGGGTCTTGCGCACAACCGGAAGCCTTCGGGCTGTTGACGCTTTTCTGCTGCCCACACCGTGGAAGGCTAGTTCTTCTTGAGGTATCGGAAAAGGGGATAGTGTGGGACGGCAGAACCGAAGCAACATCTGCTTCAGGCTTGTCACACTCGGCGTTTTGGCACTTTCGAAATTTTGGGTTTTTGCTTACGAATCCTACTGAATCCCTGTCGACGGCATCAGCATGCCGCAAGGAGTGAGCTATTTTTGAGTCAACCTTTTTAAACCCATACTGCTGTCATTCTCCTGTTCAGTCAGCGGTACGACTTCGCCTTCAGACCGCCATCATAGCCTAGCAATTTACATTATAACGGTAACCGCTTATTGTCCAACAGACCTTTCTACTATAGTATGACCCCGACAGAACAAGCGTCTCACCGGCCTGGCTCGTTGGGTCATTGTGATATACAAGTCTGACCACCACGTCAATGTAGCAGATGTCGATCGGGTAAACATTTAATAGATATCAGGTGGAAATCTGTCTTAAATCATTGAAATGTTTTCAAACAGGCAGATAATTAGATAAAGCAAAAAAACTACTAAAAAATTTTCAGTTATTGCGCTTGACTGTCGAATGACTATGGACTTTGTGAACTCCAACTAGAAAAGTCACAGGGGTAAGTTTAACTCTAAAAGGTCATAACTTCCTCCCCTAACTCTGTGGGTGAATAAACTGTAAAGCTGAGAATAAAAGGAAGTAAACATTTAGGCTCATAGTTTTAAAATGAAGATAAAAATATTGTGGTGTTGTTTATCTTCGGAACTAGATGATTTAATTGTGAAGCTTTCTTACTGAATTTTGTGCTGATGTCTAAAATGACAATGAAAACTCCATGATTAAACCATCCACTTCAGAGAACATAACACCATCAAAATCATCCTTCTGAGATACAAATGTTCTCCATCATCCTATGAAAATAAGAATAACTTAAAATAAGATTGTGGATTCCAATTACTCTGAAAAGGATACTAATATGGCCTATTACACCATCAAACAACTGTAGTTCATTGGTCTGGGTTCTCAATTTCCGACCAATAGGTGAAAGGTTGCAACCCTGCTCCATCTACCGAGGTAGTAGTAGTAGTACACATATCTCACATACAACAGGTGTGATTCACTGCCTGCTACGCGAATGTGCATGTGGTTGCTGAGTTAATTTTGATTCGATTAAAAGCCTTGATAACTGTCAGTCTTATCATCTAAGCTTTCCAGACATTTTTTTTCATAATATTAAAATAATCCCAACTACAAACCCTAAAATATAACTGAAACAAACTATCAGTGACTGTCTAAATCATCGCAATACCTGAATATAAGTACTCAACTTTCTTTCAGAGCAATACTACTTCAATCATCGAGTATTACAGCCGACAAGGGATCGGTGTGTGTAATGCATGACCGAACAGCATCAGTTTGAAATAGGTGATCATCTGTATATGTCACATCATAATGAGAAAGTACGACCAGAATTGGTACGAAACGTATTCATCGCTTGATAAACGCTTGGTTAGTTGATTAACTTTATATGTGCATAATTGCAATTACCATCGAGTCCTTTTTGTCCATACAAGAGTTAGTGTCGGTGTTTTCATCCAAGGCGTGAACAAGTGTTAAGTTAATAAAGAGTACGTACATAGATTTCGGGTAAACGGAAGCTTCTTTTCGTCCTGAGTTGATGGGGTGTACATTGAAACAAGGTTTTAAACATGGTGGCATATATCTGAGCTCCAAAAGTCCTTAAGTTAACAGAGAATAATATCGAAACACTTATCTATTTACTAAGTGGTCCGGATATATAAAGAATACATTTCTGCTTGGAAGGAAGACCATTCCATGTTACTTTTCAGTATTTAGCCCATGAATGCTATGAGATTTAGTGAAATAAAGTGACATTTGTGTCTACAAATCAGCTAACAATATTTCATATGCTGCTTAACTTTACAACTAGATATGAATCAATCAAATACCCAATATGGCGGTTGATAACAACGAAAATTGTAGTGAAAAATTAATTCATGGTAATGGTATCATAACACGAAACAGATAACGATGTTACCTACCATTTATCTGAATAGTTTAAACATAAGGTTGACAATTCGAGATCTTGTTAAATAAACAATCGAAAATACTATGATGTTTTGTGACTGTAAGTAGTGAACGTATTTTTTGGTGCTTATTCACCAACTTATATTTTATTTTTTTCACACTATTGGTTTATTATTATACATTTTTCTTTGACGCTCGGTGGCGTAGGTAGTCGATCTCTAGACATTACTTTACGCATCTAAACGCAGCAATTTTAACAGAGGGTTTAGTAGTTAGGCTATATTACCAATCACCGCATAAACGGTAGCTCACAGTCTAACGTATGAGCTGGGGAAGGGTCACTAAGTTGTGTGATATTATTCCTTATTGCATCACTACATCACTAGACTCGTGACTGAAACTTATTTCTTCCTTCGTTTAAATAAATCTACACAGCCATTTCAGTTACACTTCTAACTACGAAAACTGGTATACCTTGAGACTACAAGCAAAACATACAACTAACTTTTGTACTGACTACAAACAATGCAGAAAATGTCACAGAATATCACCAAGAAGTGTAACAATATACTGAGGACTACTTATAACTACCGTTCTCTACAAGGTAAATGATGAAGTCATTAACAGTGACAAAAATCAACCGCCATTTCTTCGTCACACTTAGAAACCTGTCTTCAGCGCCTTAACATCCACGACCCGTCATCAAAACCGCACCACAAATACATCCTTGTTATCATATAGTAAACGCATGTAGTTCATGTTTACGCGAAGATTGCTACAAGTCATCTTACTGAAATAACTAAAGAGTTCACCATATGGCATTCAGTCAGTCAACACAAATTTGAACGGCTGTTATAACTTTGAAGATTTTGTGTAATACAAACAATTTTTACAGTTAGGGATTTATTAAAGCTGCTTTCTAGTTCAAGATGACAAATTTTTACTTCAATACTTTCCTTTTTTACTTAGTGACTAGTTCAAACCCAGATTACTTGCACTTTGTAGCCAAGCTAATAAGGCTTAAATTAAAACGCAATATACAGTGGTATACTGGGTGGTAATCAGTGAGTAATAATTTGCCGAAGGACACCTATATTTACTGATTACTTTCTTGTAGTACACTTAGAACAAACTAGAAGGAACAACGTAAATACACTAATCTCCCTCCAGTTTTCAAGAAATCATTACTGTTCGACTTTCTAGAACACCATATGCTTTTGAGAACAACTTTGTGTATTTTTCTAGTGATAAGAGTTCCCACTTGCTCAAAAGCATTTCATAGATATAATTGAGGGAATAAAAAACTATAACCTCGGAAAATAAGCTTTCTGAAATAGCCATTTGAAGTCTACTGTTTTATTAAAAGTAAGACAGGGAAGTGGTTGCTGGGACTAACTTAGCGCTTAAATAACTCATCTGATCACACTATGCCAACTGCCTATTGCAAGTCAATGTAAAATTAGAGAGGTTGTCCACAGACTATATATAGTAATCATTTTAAGTCCATGAAATGATCCTATGTTGCCAAGATATTCAATAAACTTGGAGCTAATTTCGCATTGCTGAGAACTCTAAGAGAGTATCGTAACCGACAATAACATTGGAACATGGCCGAAAACATCCAAAATACCAACAACAAAGTACGAACGTACATTATTTGGCATAAAGATAACTCAGTGAAGGTAAGCAGATACTGCCTACTTTAGAAGATTAATGAGAACAGAACCTATCGGTCAAGTACTACACTGCGACATATATGTACTCAGTAATTTGAAACATTCAGTCATCCTGCTTCTCTGCATACTAAACAACCAAAATTTATTCCCAAAATTAAATGTTTGATATCTACACCATGAGGCATTGTTAAGTTGGGTATCAAAGTAACAGAGGTACTACCTAAATCCAGAGAGATGAATCGGATACACCCTATCATGGTAACAAACACACCGAATAAGGAGAACAAAATTTGAATATCTTAAATGGAATAAATATAAATTAGGGATGAAAAACGCTTCGGAAAACTAGTTGGGAATACTACTTAGCATACTCACTTCATCACGTCGCGAATTGGGACAGAGACCACAGCACCGGTTTCCCATACGTCTAAAATGTAGCCTTACCATAGAAAGCGTTAGTACAATGAAGCAAAAGATGAAAAGTTTTCAAAAATGGCTTTATTTTATGCACTTAACAGGTACAGGAGCAATATATATTTGAAGATGAATGAATCCAATTAATGCCCATATCTACATGAATATAAAACTTCAGTCAAATACACACTTACTTCTGTAATTCCCATTCACGATTATCCAAAGGACAGACCTGTCTTGTTTTCAGCCATCGAGATATACAGTGAAAGTGAAAAGCATGCTTGAATTCCTAATTTATAAAATTCAACCTACATTACAGACACCCCAAGCTACAGTACACTCTTCACTTGTAGCTGAGGCATGATTAGCTTGACATTCGATGCCTGTTATCCATGAAAAGAATTAAAAATTACAACTATAACGAACATAGATCCATTATGTGATTTCGACAAATAGCACAGTTATCAACGACAATATCCCAAGCCCACAACGCAACAGCATACCACTTCTTGATCTCAAAACGCTTTTTGTTTTCACTAAGGGTGGTCACCGGTCCAACATCATCAACTTCCATTTCCGACATCGCGCGCTTGCGAACCCTTCGAGTCAACCGCTTGTATTTCAATATCTCAAACACAGCCACAATAGTGTGAGTATAGAAAACTGACAGTTTCTAGGTTTTCACAAATGGTCCCTGGATTCCGTTTGCCATTTGCTCTGCATACATTTTTAGTTTAACAGGGCCTACTTGAACCCTGAGCTACCAAATGTATGCCTCGAACACATTTTTCCTCAAATTCTTTCTTCTCGGTTTGTTTTAATCATTTAATATATCCTTTGAATGTATCATGTACTCCTGCACATTTAATACGGTTTCCAACTCTCCGTTTCTTGAGTCAGTAATAAAGTGGAGAAAAAATGTAGTGTTGTACGGAAATCGTTTTTTTGGCGCAAAAATGTATAGCGTATTTCTATCCGTCAGATGCTTAGCTTGAGTTGCAGATTTTTGTGCCGTCCGAATGAATAGCCACCACCACAATTACCCTTGCTTTTCTGTTGATCCCTCATTATGGACTGGATGCTTATACAGAACCAGGTGGCTGTTCCACATTATTACCTTGAACACGGTTAGTGTTAACATTCCGATGCAACAGCCATTTCGTCTGAAAGTATTTTTCTGGGAAGGAATTTGTTGAAAACGACATGCCGAGAATTTCATACCGTCATACACATTGTTTGGAATAAACCGATTATTATTCCGCTTTTATGCCCCCGAGAATTGTCACAAATTATCTGACTTGATTTTATATTCTTCAAGAGAGTGGGTCGAAGTGACAGTCCCACAGATGTTCGCCCCTAACAATCAAGGTGCACTTCTTGTGAGAAGCTGTACTTGGTTGATCAGTGCGACAATCCTTTTCGGTTTTCAGCGACTAAGTGAAAACCGTGATTCCCTTTTCCGATACCATGTATCAGTCTGATGGCCTAGTATAGACCGATTTATATTTCAGCACCATTTTGACATTCTTATTGAGTGATCTTGGAAGCATCGTGAACTCGTCCACAGCAGAACCAGGCGCTCATCTACTCCAGCCCTGGTAAAGCCGGGAAACGGTTTGGATTACAGAATAGTTTCTTCCCAGAATGTGGCGGCACTACGGTCCTAGGCCGTTGGGTCACTGGACGGCGGTTTAAATCAATACTAAAATGCAAGATGAAGCAAGCGACGAGCAAGTCAGGGAAGATAAAAGTAGGTTCAAAAACACTCAAATCAATTAACTAAGTTAATTTAATAGATCATTCATGCTGGACAAGGTTATGGAAAAATGGACTATTGAATTATAAAGATTTTGGGCCGATAAAATGATGTGGGAGAGGATGAAGAAGAAAATAAGAGGGCAAAAGCTGCAGGAATAGTAGCAGCGGCTATCAGAATGTCAATTATTCAGAGGTGATTGTGTGGATAGTATCAAATAGGGTGAGGGTTCTCATAAAGTGGCAAAAGTGGGTACTGTCAGAGTTAAACTTGTGGATTGTGATCGAGTGCAACTCCAGATCAGACCGTTTACTCGGTGTAGCACACAGTGACACAACATGGCTTGCTGGATGATTTTTTGAGCAGAATTCGTTACCAGTGTTCACATCCAGTTAGCCCGAGAAATTGTTAAGTTGCTTGTCCAAGGTGGCTCTAAACGTTTCATCAATCTCCAGTTCGCAATGGTGGTCTTCACTTTGGCCCATAGCGACGCATTCTCCCTCACTAAAAGATTCACTTCGGTTTGAATCCACAATTGTGGTTGGGGTTCACTCTGAGCCTTATGGCAAGGCTTGTCTGGAATGGGCTTTAGTCCAACCCCACCTAGGCGTCACACTATTTCTTTTTGTCCACATATTTCTAGTGGTCTGATTCCCTTCTAGAGCGCCTCTTGTGTCGCACTGCCCTCCCAACGTTTGCTCGTCGTCTCGTTTCATCAGAGTAGTCCCTCTTTTCCAGAGTTGCTGCTGCTACGGAGAGTTTTCACGATAATTCCTTCTACAGGTTCCCATAGAGTGTCAACCGAAAAAAGAACCACATCTTCGGCGTGATGCTTTTGGTAGAAATAACTTCGCCTTTATGTGATTTGAATCTCCATAGGCGATGTATGTGCCATGACTCTACCATAATAACTGCTAGCTGATGATCAAACCAAGTACTGCAACAGCATTATTTTAGGCACCCGTGGAAGTTCTATTAAGGACTTTTCCTGCAAGTAGAAGGTAGCTATTACCGGTACTGATGGTTTACCACTATGTCCACAGAGGCCTTTTCCCAAGCCCTACTCACACGGTTCAGCGTCCTCAAAGACACTTGGTGGGCTTTGATCAAAAGTACGGCTCAAAGTATAACCGTTTTGTCCTGAGCCGGGAGCAGAATACTACAATCTCCAGTTACGAAAGTCTAGGCGTATGCCTAATACTAGGCAGCAGTCATATTTGTATGAAGATTGCGTTTATAAGTGTTAGGTTGCGTGAAATGCATCTTAGCTCGGCCATCTCACTCCCAGATCTTCTCAAATTGACGCAAAGGATTTTGGAGGGGACTTTAACAATCTAATCTTTTTCTGATCGCTACGTTGGTCTTTCTGCGCGATAATCTCAGGGGGTTTGTATGTGGCTGTTTGACCACAATATGCAGTAGTTTCTGTCGAGATGCTCGTCTGGTAAAAGATTCCATTTTCAAGTCAACCTGCATTCTGCTACAGTAATCGATATTGTCACCCATACGACAACCGGGAGCACACGGAGGGAGTGGCTAACATGATGTCCCCAAAAGAATCGAAGGCTCTCTCTCTCATACAGTGGAAACCAGTCTCTTCCAGGACCATAACAGCAAGGTTCAACTCAAAAGGAAGGAAAGTCACAATCATGCGACGCTACGCTATGCACCTGCAAATAGTGCAGGTGAAGAGAAGAAGGAGGAATCCTACAGACAACTGCAGTCGGCATTGGACAAGACTGCAGTCCAGTTGGTGACATCAAAATTCTAATGGGTGACACGAATGCCAAACTGAGAGCGGACAACACAAGAAGGGAACTAACCATGGGTCGAGAAGCGCTCGGTTAAATGAACGAGGATGGAGAACTTTTCGCAGATTTCTGCACATCCAATGACTTGGCGATTGAGGGCACTGTGTTCAAAAACAAGGATGTCCAAAAAGCGACGTGAATTTCACCAGACACCAGGACACACTAAAAATCAGATGGTATTCATCTCAATCTCAAAAAAGTGGAGACGCAGCCTACTTGACACAAGGTAGAGCAGAGGAGCAGGTATAGACTCAGAACACCGCCTAGAGCGAGGAACCTTCAAAATCGAATTGAAAGCCTTCAAGGAAGTCGGTGACACCCAGAAACTGAAAGGCGAAACTACGAAGGAAATCTTCATGTCAGCCAGCCATCAGGACAGAATGGGAGATATCGACTAACATCCCTGGAGAAGCCTGTGTGGATGAGCACTGGAACTCTTTAAAAGGGTGTGGGCAGAATCCTGCATAACCGTATTAGAGAGGATGAAGAAAGAATATAAGGAATGGATCTCAATGGATACATGGAAGCTGATAGAGGAGAGGAAAATGGTGAAGCAGAAGATAAACCAGTGCAAGTATGCTCAAAAAGAGCAGGAACTGAGTACAGTGTATAAAACACTGGACAAAGAAGTGGAGAAGAGGTTGCGGACAGACAAAAGACACTTCCACGACACACTGGCAAGTGAGGCAGAACGGGCTGCAGGTAAGAGAGATCTGACAACATTGTATCAAATGACCAGGTTGCTATCTGGAAGGAGATCAACACAGATGAAACCGATAAAAGATTATGAAAGAGATTAAATAACCAAAAAAGAAGGACAAAAGAAACGATGGGCTGGCCACTTCGAAAAGCTCTTGAATCGACCACCACCGCCACCGCCTGCAACCCATCCAGAGATACCGTCTGCAACCAAGCCACAGAACTACAAAAGAACATAAATCCTCCATCAAAAGTCGAAGTCCTGAACGCCATAAAGCTACTAAAATGTGGGAAAGCAGCAGGATCGGGTAGAATTCCGCCAGAAGCACTGAAAACAGACGCACAGACAACAGCGGACACGCCCGCACCACTATTGCAGAAGGTTTGGAAGGAAGGGAAGGTAACTGGCTGGTGATTGGAAGAAGGGCTATCTTGTCAAACTCCCGAAGAAGGGTGATCTAAGCCTTTGCAGGAACTGGCGCGGCATCACGCTCCTGTCTAAGCTAGGCAAAATATGCCGCATCATCCTGGAGAGACTAAAGGATGCTCTGTGCTCAAAACTACGACCGGAACAGTTTGCCGGCTGGATTCAGGAGGTACAAATCATGTGTGGATCGAATTGCAACACTACGCTACGCATCATCATAGAACAGAGCATAGAATGGCAGTCAACTCTCTATCTCAGCTTCGTTGACTTTGAAAAGGCTTTTGACAGTGTCGACCGAGAGGCAAGTCGGCAGTTGCTGCAACACTACGGAATACCACAAACCTTTATCGGTCTCCTTCGACAACTATATGAAGACGCCACGTGCCAAGTGATCCACAATGGAAAGCTCAGTGATGCTGTTGAAGTGAAGATAGGAGTGAAATAAGGCTGTCTACTATCACCCATGATCTTCCTGATAGCAGTGGGCTGGACTGGATCATGCCACAAACAGTGGGGAGTGAGGCAAGGGGGATAAGCTGGACCGGGAAAAAGAACCTGGAAGATTTAGGTTTCTCCAGTAACTTGTGTCTAGTGTCACAAAAACTTGAAGATCTACGGGCGAGATCCAACAAGTTGGCTGGAGAGGTAGAGCAGCAAAGACGGGACTTCAAGTGAATGTAGAGGAGACAGGGGCGGTGAAGATACCCAACCAACACAACCTCCACAAACAACAACAAGCTGCAATCAGCATGAACGGGAGAAACTTAAAGGAAGTTTTCTCTTTCACCTGTCTGGGCAGCACTGGTCCAACTACAGGCGGCACAGACGAGGATGTCAAAGCGGGGATCGGAAAAGCGAGACAGGCGCTCATTAGCCTGAAT